CACAGATCTTAAAATATAACGTTGATAAACGGAAACATCGGCACATGTAGATACGTAGATCTTGAAAGTCGAGTTGTTCACAACTTGAAAATAGCGTTGATAACTGGACCAATTGTTGGTTGAGATGTTGCAAAGGAAATATCTGATAGAGCTTTTCGCCAGACACTAATCATAACAGAACCGTCTGGAAAATGATCTAAACGAAATGGTACAGCTTATAAAATGAGTCAGATCAACGTAGGCCGATAAGGCAATCACTGATTGGCATGTCCTTAAGCCAATCAGGAAATGTCACAGACCTACTGACGACAACAACTTGACTTTGCTGAATAAATCTCCCTGCACATACAATCACGGATATTCCAGCTTGTGTTGCATGCTTTGAAATGTCCACCGATAGGAACTCACCCAATTCAATTTTGTTTTCAGTAACAACTAAAAAAACTGCCCATTCATGAGGTAAAGGAACATCGGAAGACTGGATTGACCTTTTGATTGACGTGGGTTTCTTCGTTTTGTTGCGCCTGCGTCGAGTGGCGGACTTCACATACAAAATTTGATAATGGTAAAAGACAATGTCAAGCCACTTGAATTTTTCTCCTGTCTTAAAGTCCAGTGCACAGAAAATACTAGCAAAATCTCCAAAGGTTTTTGCCCCTTGAAGTTTTCCAAGGATATGAACTCCAGACATACCATCAATGATTAGTGTTGAATCTTCATATTGAGGCAATCTTTAGGGCAACTGATCTTTGCTATCAGCTCATCAGCTAGAAGTAACTTTGATCTTGATCTCAAAGAGTCATCCAGTGCTGCTTAAAAAAGGGGGACTGGTGACAGTTCATGTTTAATGATTTCATTCAGGTCAACAGTTTACCCACGTTCTTACGCAACAGCAATTCGCTGTAAGAGTCCGGTCAGCTTTAATTGTCTTGGTTTCGTCCTTTCCCATACCCGAGGCTTTCACTTCATACATGCTAGCAAGGTCTCATAGATTAATTTATTCTAATCTAAGTGCGACCCACCCTTAATACTAATGGCGCAGAAAAATATAGCTAATTTTTACAAAATACTCTTTTTACCTGTTTGTGTAATTTTGCCCTTGTCTTTATTACCTATATTCGTGGTACGAACTGTAATTTGCCTCATGGTATTGATCTACCATCCGTACACTTTCCCGACATGTTTACAGCCACATGTTTTCCTTGTAATTCGAAATAAGTTCGGATTAACAGCATGATTAGCTAGACCTTCACATTCTTTGACAGCTCCATAATTGGTCATTTATCTGAAATTGAGAGAAGCTGTAAGTCAACTATGGTTCCAGATTTTTCAGACACCCTGTACCTAAAGAATAAAAATATGCACTAGGATAACCTAAATACTCAGATTTGTTTCTTAGGAAATTAACCTAGCTGTCCGACAGTATTATGCACTCATTTCAAGGGATTTTAGTGAATAGTGTCCAAATAAAATTTAAATGCCCCCACCCCGAGTATCATATGCATGTCCCCAGTGACATGCAACTTTTCGAAAAAGTTTCCCGTGTTATCCGGACAATGGTTTTTGTGTTCATTAGAAAATAACATGTTTCGTGTTTATTATTCAGCTTTCATGTATTAACTATCCCGAGGAACGAAAAAGTAAATATATAAAATGCAGTACAGTACGAGTGTTCTAATAATATAACATTTTATATACAGAATGTATCTTAGAATAAATCAATTATAAGACATGGAAAAATGTCGTCAAAAGTAAACTCAAGCATGCATTCCACTCTTGTTCATGCTATGATCAAAAAGGTGAATATTACCGGCAATTTGAATTGTCCAACGCCTGCCCAAAGATGATGGGATTAACACATTAGTAAATACGTGATATTTATTTTTGCAGACCAGAAAAAAATAAATAAATATGAGGGCAGTATACAATTTGACAATTTAGTGGTACTGGGCCACGTAAGCCTAAACATAATACCTACATGATCGGCCTCCCCCCCCCCAACATTTGCAGTCCTTCCAGTGCAAAAGAGCCTCAAGGCTCACAGTTGTAAAGTTTAACTAACTCTTGAATTTTGTAATTCGCTAATGTTTAAGTTATATATATACACACATAAACACACACATCAAATACACGTAAACAACGAGAGCATTAACACAAGTTCTCAATAAAGCTGTTCACACACACATTTCAGAAGTTACAGAGGAGCCCAGAATAACGTCTCTGCCCCCGCGTGTAACTTTCCCTTTCTGGGAGCGTTTTAGAGAAACTTACTTTATCTTAAAGTTTGCTCACTAATAACCGAAAATCGACTAATATCACAGCACGAACAATAACTGAAAATTTCACGTAAGGATCCTGTGTGTTAAGTTACCCTCACTCCTATAACAATAATAAAGAAAAAAGCCTGTAATCGTAAACTTCAAAATGTCATGCAAAATGAAAAATTCAAGCTTTCTTTGAACCTCCACCATTAAGTCTACACAGCATGCGCCAGATAGGTTAGTTACTTCCTGCTGAACGAAATGATCCAACCGTTTACAAGAAAATATTCACGGTCTATAAAATAAGTATATGTATAACTGAGAAGGTGGGGAGCAAGGTTCGAAAGGGACTTAGTTCGTTCTCTATACTGAGCCCAGCTTTTGATCACGCTGTTACTTACTTGATTTAGGTTGATTACTAACTAGATGCACAAAAGTTAAACACGACATGTGTACCAATCTAATAAAAATAACAATTAAAAACTCACATATACACTGATAAATAAAGCAAACAGTCGTCTGAAATGTCATCTTCAAGATACTGCAGGCAAATAAATTCACTTACACTGTTCAAAATCAACAAATATGACAACCATTCTTTTGTCTAAGTCTGTATCACAACCACAGTAAATGTTAGTAAATATCGCTAGTAAGTAACAGTTTGGCTGTAACTGTTAGTAAATATCGCTAGTAAGTGACATTTTGGCTGTAAATGTTAGTAAATATCGCTAGTATATAACAGTTTGCTATAAGTGTTATTAAAAATCACTAGTAAGTGACATTTTGGCTGTAAATGTTATTAAAAGTCACTAGTAAGTAACAGTTTGGCTGTAAATGTTAGTAAATATCGCTAGTAAGTAACAGTTTGGCTGTAAATGTTAGTAAATATCGCTAGTAAGTAACAGTTTGGCTGTAGATGTTAGTAAATATCGCTAGTAAGTAACAGTTTTCTGTAAGTGTTAGTAAATATCGCTAGTAAGCAACAGTTTGGCTGTAAATGTTAGTAAATATCGCTAGTAAGAAACATTGTGTAGTATATGTTGACCACGATTTAAAATGTGGTTCACCAGATTCGATATTCCATGTTCAGGCAACATTTTAGACTTGTCTGGCCTACTAAGCACAGTTTTAGCTATCTATACAGAAACTAAAACCAAAATGGAATGTTTTTGAGGCTAGACATTCATGTCGAACCATTTACTTGCATAAACTGCCTACTGAAGCATTATATTTTTGTTCCAATATGCCTATCGAAGCATTTCTTAAAAGTTCCAATAAACAAGGGTGTGATAATTTTCTTCAACGTTATGTATACATGAATCAACTAGGTGTACATACCCACAATAAAGTGATAATTACTACACTTGCAGGATTAGTTACTTGCTGATCAAGCTAACACTTAACCTACTACACAGCAGTTACATAGCACAATAGTTGTCCACTCTGTCAGTATCCAAGTATCCTTTTGAATGAAATATACATATTGGATAACACTGAGTTTCATGTGTTACCTTAGTCGGATAATACACAGTGTTGCGTGTCTTTAACAACTGATATCCTCATCTTGTTAATTAATACACAAAGTTTCACATATCTTATGATCTTAACACCTCGCATTCTTTTACATTAACACAAAGCTTTAGGTGTCTTCGTGTTTTTACTACCTATGTTAAATAAACTTAGACAAGAATACTTTTGACATTTATTAAAATCAGCTAGACGAGTAATACAAACTAGAGTAGCATATCCATCAAGCTGAAAGCAATTTCCAATTACATCTGCCCACGTGTAATACAAACTAAAGTAACATATCCATCAAACTGAAACTAACAACAAATTAGACCTGCCCACGTGTTGAAGTTACCATAACAACAAAGAAATAAACACAAGCTGCTGTTCTACCTTCCCGCTGTAGTTACAAGGTATAAAAAGAATAATGAAATTTAACACTAGCGTTATGATTTACGTATCACATTTCAAATCTCACGATCTATACGCCTCTTCGATTGGATCATAAAATTATTTAAACCATACAGTCAGCTGATTTGTTGGTTCACGTTGCAGAGAGCAAGGGTGTCATGCTTGAGAAAGAAACAACCATAATATCACCAACTTGCTAATTAAAGTAACGTGCACTTGCCATCAAAGTTATCTAGATACCACCAACTAGAAATATACAATTTCCTAAGAAAACACCATGCATTTTCAGTTTTGGGTGCGTTATAAGAGTGACAGTGAATCGTGTTATTCGGTTCAAAACAGACAAGTCCTTTAGGCGGCGGGTGCTGCTAATTTGATGCCTTTCTTCTGGCTAGTAGTTTCCCCACATCATAAGCAGAGTTAAATCTAAAGGTTTTTCTGAACAATAAATACAGGTAGTTGACGACTGAGAATGAATTCGTATGAGCTAAGAAACCTAATATTTTGATCAGTTACAAGGAAAAACATTCAAAGTTTTAGATTAAACCAGCAGAATACTATCAAATCAAATGATGATTAAACAGTCCTATCACAATCCAATGGTACCAATAATAAGAGTAAAGTTAACGAAGAAACAGTGTATTCAAAAAAGGTAATTGATATGTCCAGAATAGTAAACTTGTTTAACAAAAACAATTCATGGCGAATTACAGTTTAATTCGTTACTTGTCTCACGTTAGGCCTATTTTGACAAAAATAGTATTAGCTTACACCAGACTTGGTTTTTATAATCAAACAATTTCAAACTGAGATTCTAACCTTTATAGGGTCCATCTTTTCTATTTCTGTTTCGAAATCCGGCACATCATCTGCCTTTCGTTCATCTGTTAAATCGTCGGTACAACGGATCTCTTCATGATCTTCTCCACTTTTCTCGAACCAGTATTTATCATCACATTCGTTCGCGTTTGCGTAATTATAAAAGTCATTCAGATGCTTTTCAACGTTTTTATCGGAATCAATGGAACCTCCATTCATATTATGTGCGACATCTTTATCTTCAGTAAACAATAACGATGACTCCACATCACGTTTTTCACTGCCACTGCTGTCCTTCACGTTTTTACTACTTCTTTCGTCCAATGGGACGCTATTTTCAAAGAACTGCGCATTCTCTTCTTTTTCTACATTTTGATATTTGATCACTGATACGTTGGAGTTCTTTTGCATACAACTATCAGCATCCTGAGAACCTTGTAAGCCTCCTACAGGGTTACTTTTAATGTTTTTTATAGAATGTTTTTGATTATCATTGACAGCTTTTTGGCGATTTTCAAGATCCCGAATAACCGTATCTTTCTGATTCTTCTTTGACGAGTCCCAGTGATCATTATTACTTGTCACTACAATTGTACAGTCTGTTCCTATAACATTAAGTTTATCTAGTTCATGTGGATGGACTTGGCGGACGTCCCTGACGATCCGTGGAAGACGAGTCGTTTCTTTTGAATTATTCGATACTTCACGACCGCCATCTAACGTTGACTTATCTTTACCTTTTTTCTTCCTCTCGCCAGCACTCCTATAAGACAAGATTATTTTGTTAAAATACGTTTGTATTTGCAGTGTTTAAGAACTATCTCGGTTATTTTACATCAGTAACAAGGAAGGGAGTGTGTGTGGGGGGGGGGGGCACACTAAAGCACTGCACTGATAATCTTTTAACCAGTACCATGATGTCTTAAATTAGTCTGTCGAAATCATGTGGGTCTCTACGATTTACTATCAACGACTCTACTTCAGATTTCTTGGTAATCAGTTTCATTAGTTATATAACTATGAATACGTTAAAATATACAACAACTATAATAGGCACGGGCATAACACATAAATTTACTTTAAATATTGATAAATATGGTAAAAAATAGTTTTTTTTTAACTCCAAAATGGCAGTTTTAGTTATTTCTGCAAAGCCACCAATTTAGTCATTTCGGCAGGGTTACTGTTTTAATTATTTTGACAATATATTTTTGTTCCAAGTAAAATTTAAATATAATTTTTCAGAATGATTGTTTGTTTGTTTGTTTTGAATTTCGCGCAAAGCTACATGGGGGCTATCTGCGCTAGCCGTCCCTAATTTAGCAGTGTAAGACTAGAGAGAAGGCAGCTAGTCATCACCACCCACCGCCAACTCTTGGGCTACTCTTTTACCAACAAATAGTGAGATTGACCGTCACATTATAACGTCCCCACGGCTGAAAGGGCGAGCATGTTTGGTGGGACGGGGATTCGAACCCGCGACCCACAGATTGCGACACGAGTGCCCTAACCACCTGGCCATGCCGGGCCAGAATGATTGAAAATATAAACAAATACTGAATGGATTTTATTATACACAAAGAATATATACACCTAAGTAGGTAACGTCATTCTCTTTGTGTTACATGATGGAAATAAACACACTGTGGCTGATAGATCCTTGGAAAGTACATCTAAAGGAGTGTACCAGAGTTTTGCCTGAATAATAATAGTTGTTTCTCAAGAACAAGAACATTCAGGGGTATGGTGGTAACTTTCGACGACTCATTTTGGATAACAGCAAATACACACATATTAGAAAAAAAAGAAGAAAAACGTTTATAGGTTTTTCAGCTTAGAAAAAACATCTGGCAATCACACCCACTCTTTATTTATTGAATTTCATGCACAGCTACACAAGTGCTATCTGCACTAGCAGACTCTAATTTTGAACTAACAGACTAGTGGGAAGACAGCTAGTCAATACCGGCAACCCTTGGGCTGCTGTTATCAAACTGAACAGTGGAATCCGAACTTAATATACGGGCTCCAAAGTGCAGAGAGCGATTTTGTTTGGTTGTAACGGGACTTGAACCACGGAACCTCAAATCCACTGTCCAGCACACTAATTAATGGACCGCTCTCGGCCCCTCTCCCAGTTGGATGGTGCCTTTCCACTAAATTTTTAAGACGCATATATATATAAAGGAAGCGAATTTATAACAGATAAGGTTCGGCGATATGTAGTACCTTGTCTGCTCTCAACAGTCTTGTTTCTTTTTAGACGCAAAACTTCAAAGTGGGTTATCTGCACTGTACCCACCGAATGTATCGAACCCCGATTTTTAGATACAAGCCCTCATGCTTACCGCTGAGCCACTAATGGTCTCTTCGCAGTCAAAAATGACAACCTGTTGAAAACGAATATCAAAATTAAAAGTTTCAATAACCTTTTTACATTACTGTTTTTCTTTCTTTAAACATACAATATAGAGAGTATCACAGAGCTACTAACTTCAGAGATGACTTTCAAAGGGAGGAGTTTGGTGTGGAGAAGGTGCATCTATCTCCTGGAGCCTTTCCTTGAAACTTCAATCCCTAAACGGCGTCATCCGGCAAAAACTAAATACATCTTCTTATGGCTTATGATTCACTTTTGGTGGACTATATCACTAAATCTGCTAAAGTGAATGAATTTACAGCATACGACATTGGGGATAAAACGTAATATATATATGGAGAGAGAGAGAGAGCTATCCACTAGACCTAAAACCTAGTCCGTTAGTCATTCACTACATATATTAAAATGGAATAACTTACACCACACAGTGTAAATACAGGTTTGTACTACTGGCTTATAGCTTTATAATCTGAGGGTCATCCAACAACACAGATTTTCTGGTCATACGAAACTATATATTAATCAAACCTGTTAGATCTTCTTCGGTTTCTGTTATGCTAACTTGTTAACTTGAACGTAACCACGTCCTTAAAAATAATTTCATGAAGGTTATACACTGCCTTAGGAAGTAATTTTGGAGTGATCAAGACATTGCCACAGCTAAACATTTCTAACACACGATGTGTGAAAAGCATGCCATTTCTGTGGTAGTGGTGGGGTCTGGGGGCATGCCCCATCTCGAAAATTTTTGAAAATTAAATGTCATGATAGTGAATCTTGAGCCATTCTGACAACAATTACTGCATACACATAACGTAACGTATTGAATTAAAAGAAGCAAGTTTTAATACACAAGTTGTAGCTATACATGCAATGAAAAAGTGGTCAAGCCATGGCCTGACTGGTTTTACCGCTTCCTACGGTCTTGTTATACCATAGCTCAAAAGTGTAAGAAAAGATTATGGCAAATTCATTTCCCCCTTTATTCAAAGTGATTTTCATGTTATGATTAAAAATCCTCATCTCGAAAATTTCAAATTTCATTTGCGTAATCTCTAAAACCTCCTAAATACATTTTAAACGTTTGTTTTCAGTAAAACTTTATATTTTATATGATATTTTCTCTACCCTAACTCTATACAAGATTGGTCAATTTTACTGACCTCGTAACCACCAGAAAAAACCTAAATAAATCTAAATTACCCATTTTTTCTTTCTGCGATGACTTCAAATTGTAACATGAAACTACATTTGTTTATCCTAAGTAGCTTTAAGCTTTTAACAGTATACATCCATTTATATTATAAATTTTATTGTTTTATTGCCCTTTGAACCTGTCTAACTACTACTCGCGCCATTATAACTATAAGTTACAAATCACTTGGGGAAGGTAGAACTTACTTTACGCTATCGAATTACATTACCCACGAGTTCTCTATTTTTACATCTTAGTTACTTTTATAATAATAAATAAGGAATAAACATGAAAACAAGAAATAAAGTACTTACCCGGGGTCTTTTTTTTTTTTTTTTT